ACCCCTCAGAGGGACGCCTCGGACACCTGTCCCAGTATACAGTACCTGCCGCCTAGTGCGTACCAGGTACTGTACGCCATTAAAAACTAGCGCTTCAATTCCTAATTACCGCGCGGACGCTGCAGCTACACGTGTGTACTACTGTACACACGCGCTGCTTACAGACTACCGCACGGATGCCACGTGTGCTAGCGTACACGCGTCATACTGGTAGACTACCGCTTGGCCGACACGTGCACTACTGTACACGTACGCCAGATTACGACGGCTCGGCACGCGCGCGCTCCCTACACGTGGGCACACCCGCCCACGTGTCCACCGTGCACGGCCGCACTGTTAATAATCTCCCCGCGCGCGCGTCCGTCGTTATACTACACTGGCATTGACATCCTTGCCAGGTGTAACTCCACACTCGTCCAAATTCCACATACGTTCAGCGTCGATGTCGTATTCAGCAATTATTCTCTCAACAGTAGCAAAATGCGTAGCCAAGACCTCCCCACTACATGCGATGAATCTCTCGGCTTCTTGCTTTGTTGGTTTGGAAAATTTGACGAGTTTGTTGTGCCTTTTAATGAAGTTTCGTACCCACTTTGTACCCGGTTGTCCCTCGCGAAATGGCAGTAACGCTTGTCTTGCTGGCGTCATGTGAGATACCATGATTGCGACGGCCTGTCTCACATGATGGGAGTCCATCGGTATTCCTTTGTTTGCGTAATCAGTAAGGAGAGCGAGAATTGGTTTCTCTTCTTGATCAGTTAGCGCGCGTGGTCGCCCAGCCTGCTTCGTAATTGTTTTGTTTAGCGTTGCTGCGGCGTACCAGACTGTGGACCGAGGAATTTGAAACCACTTTGCGGCATCTCTTGCGGACATACGCCCTGCCCGGTACTCTTGAACCGCAAGACATTTGCGGTCTTCACGGCGCCGAGGTACATGCGGACGGCTCATAATGTCGTCTTATGCTATCGCAGGGATGGCAAGTTGAGGAGAAGGAACAAGGAAAAGTGGGAGAAGAGTGAAAGGGGGGCAGCAATTCTAGTTTGATGCCTGCTTGTGAATGGGAAGGCGGGGTTTTGGCGACATTGATCCCAGAAACCCGCCCTCTCACTGTATTCATGAGGATCTAGGATCTGATAGATCGTATTCCGCTGTTTTGGACACAGCTGAATCGATTGGTCTGATTTGTTTTTGAATTCCACCACATGTTTTGGCACAACCGCATTCAGAAGAGATGAGAAGGGCCATTGTGTGGACCGAGAGTGCATAATTATTATAATTTCGATTATTATTACGTAACAAACAAGGTGGCCAAATGATTAGGGGCACTGGCCAAGAATTAGGGCCACCTACCTTTACTTTGAAGTAATGCGTGTGATGCCGTCCAACGCAATTTCGTTTCTCGTCAGCCGGAGCCCCCCGAAAAATCCTTGCGAGGCTCTTGGCTAAGCATCAGGTCCACCCGCCCATCATGGCATGGTGCGGCTCGAACACGTTGTGCCTTCGCGTGGTCGTGGTACCTCTGGCAGCTCTCAGAGTCGCGATCAGGGGAATAGGTCCTGCGCAGTCATCCGCTCCGAGACGTCTGGCCCTGGCCCCGTCTCATTTTTGCCCCTGGTGTTGCGTCCATGACTCAGCTCGCCTGGTATGCCGTGTTGTAGCGCATTTGTATTCGTTTAAATATCATTGGTGCGCTACTGCCAACAGTGGACGAAGCATGATGGAATCGCTACGGGAAATACCTGTCACTGTAAGTCCAGTTATGCTTGTGACCACGTCTTTCCAAAACTTGCACGGACGTTTATAGTTTCGCCTAAAATTTCCGCAACATTTTAGCAATGGTTTGCCGATTCTTTTCGGTTTTGTGGAAAAGTGGCTCAGTTGGAAGATATCATTACAGCTAATCGAGCTGGTTACAAATTGCTTACGTATGGAAAAGGTCCTCGAGGTGATGATCTGGTGCTCGCACCAGCTGTCCAGAATTGAAGGTCTTTGTGCTCGTGCGAGCACAAAGACCTTCAATTCTGGACTTCGAAAGCGCGTGAGTCTCTCTTGGATTATCTGAGTGAAGTGGATGGGCCGGTAACACCCACAGAAACGGCGGCGTATTTGGAAGACAAGTAGTGGTGGGGCACGGACGTTGAGGCTCTTTTCTTTCCCCCGGAAGACAAAGACAATTCACTGGAAGCGCATCCAAGTACACAAACAAACAGTTAGGTGGTATAGAATCGTTTGGAGCTGGTACAGTGGAAACAGCGGTCTCGTTAGGGCTTTGCTGATACTCTCGCACGCATAAACATAATACACAATCCCAACACACAGTCCCCACAACCAACCACTCCCAGACCCCACCCCCTACGCCGGCCTCTGACCTGACCCAGTGCTCTCTTTCAATTATTGCACCCACTTGCGTATTATCCCGCCCTGTCCGCCATCCTCCGGACATTAACGCTGCGCACTCTCACTAGCTTCCCGCTCCTCCTCGTTCCATCCCTGCGTCTCTTTGACTGTCTCCCCGCCTTCCCTGACACCCCTTCTCAACAGCTGCCCGGCTATTGTAGGAATCGAACTCAGATAATATGGTGTACACTTCCGACAATTACCGACTGTATCACAGTAATCATTTTTGAGTCTTGAGCACATATTTGGAGATGCCAGCAATGCACAATTCTTTGATTTTGCTCAGTATTATTAGCCAAATCTAAAATTGCCAATAAAATTTCCACCAATTGCAGGTATAAGTACCACAAGAATTCGCGCTCCCGCACCAAATGGCTCTTGACGGTTTTCCAATTGAGGGGGTCCACTTGGACTGAGAGGGTTGTCGCGACGTGCATTGCTGTCGTTAATTCCCCGGGGTTTTTGGTAGGGGTCGCTGCATACGCTGTAAGACGGTTCTGAGACGACTAAATAAAGTTATCTTTTTGCCGCACGCGACGAAAACAAACCCTGAGACTGTAGCTCCACGTGGGCTCTAACTCTACCGACACAGCCAATTAAAATTCAGGGTGCAAATGTTCTGTGCAAAATCATTCCTGCTGTGTCGATACGCAGTAAATTCACACGTACCGGCACCCTCAGTGCCCTTCTAGAGAGTATGCCTCTATTTCAAATCATGCCGTAGCCTCCATTTTTTACATAGATCTGGCGAAGTTTAACCTCTCTCGAGTCATTTAAAAAGTCAAACGTATGGCCGCACATGTTTTTTTTCTGTGCAATCCGTCACGCATTGATACGCAGACTTAAAGCAGCTCTCTCGATTCAATTGTATATCTAGCTTTGCCATTCCCGAACCACTTGCCATTATTCAAATATCAATCCTCCGGTGTTCCAGTCCTACTGATGCAGTTAAGCCAGTCGCATCCTCTCCTTTTTCTCACCCTGATACCGGCATAGGCTTCTAGAAGCCCAATGGATTCATCACATTTGCGACCTGATTCTGCACATGCGTTCACATCTACGCGCAGAAACAAACCGCGTGGAGCCGACGGACGCTTCAGGGCATCCAAAATTGATGCCACGCGCCGAGATCCGCGAGCGTCGCATCGTCTTGCCAGAAACCGCCGATATCGCGCGCCACGCCGAAACGCGCAAGAGAAGTACTTTTCAGGTTACGTGGGAGTTTTTTTCGTTCCGGGAGAGCAACGCGATTTCATTCCTTTCTCGTCGCGCAGTGGTCCATTTGTGGAGGTTTTTGAAAACATAATTAAGGACAAGTACTTGCTTGGTAGGAATGAACGCTCTACGACCCTCCAGAAAACCTACGAAATCCAAGGACTTCTCGGAAATCCCACTCAACTTGTAAGAATTTACACGTGTGATGCGGCGACTCCGGATGCATGCAAATTCCGAGTGAAAGTCTACCGCTACAGAAGATTTCCCTGTTTGACGCGGACAACCTCGGAGATGAATCCCCTCATCGAGTGGCTGAAGCGGTTGAGTGGCCTTGGCGTGCTCTCATTTTCATTGCAGGAGTCGCTCTCAGTCTGTGTCGAAGCAATTAAAAAGTACAAATATCTGTCGAACAAGGAGGCAGGCTACGTTGGTTTTCCATTGGAAAGTAGTCAGCAGCTGTTGACGGGATCGTCGGAACGTGCACACGTAGTCGTGCGTACGCAAAATGTCGGCGGAGCATTGCAGCGCCAAGGTGTCGAAGGTGAGAACGGTAAGCATGTGGAACCGCTTGGCAACGGAAGCAGCGCTGTAAATTATGTAGGTATAGAAGGGTCTAGGGATCCTCAGATTCATATTCGAGAAAGTGGCGATGGGGCTCTGACGAGTAGCGGTGCATTGGAGGTCGCCAGCACAAGTACAGGTACCACTCTTCAGTCAGAGTCATTATCTCACAATTCGCTACTTGGAGGACCAAATGACGACATGCTACGGTTTATGATGCACTACTTGGAGCTGTCATACTGTGATGACGTCTTCCTGGTGCTCTGTATGCTATTCGACGAGCGCCTCGATTCGAAGTTCCAGTTTGTCGTTGGGGCATTTAGAGAGAAATACAAAAATGGGCAAGTGGTTGCTCCACTTTTGGTCAAGAATATTATGGCCTATGCACACGCCAAAGCTTTCAACACGAATGCAGGGCATGATCATTCAGAAATAGAGAGGAGTCTGAAGCGTACCAGGGATCAGATAGCAACGGTTCGTAGTTTATATGGCCTAAAGTCGTACGAAGAAATGCGTTGGGTGGATCCCGACCAGAATTGAAATAAAGAGTCACAACACACAATGCCCATTTCGTGCATGCTCTGCAGGGAAACGACCGCCTCGGAGATAATACTGGTCGCCTGGCTCTCTGTCACATTCTCGTGGTTGGAGCAAACGAAGGAAAACTGGTCACCGCCCTCGTAAAAATTGGTGACCAAGTAGAGGCAGCTCGGCATCTGGAAGGCGATCCTCATCTGAGCCATAAACGGCTTGCCCTTGACAAGGCCAAGGTGAGCCTCTCACTGAAGGCACTCTTGAAATGCAGTCGGTCCCTAAACGCCAAACTCTTATTCAGGACCTCGCCAGATATGCCTCCAAGTGTACTGCAACGATGCCCAGTCCCCATCCATTCCGCATATCAGTGCCCCGATCTCTACCCTCCTCCCACCGATCCACCATGTCAGAGACGTAGCACCCGCAGTCCGCGCGGTGGGTGCTCTGCTCGCCGCACCACGCCAGGCGCCCGTCTCAGGGCTCGGTCGAAGCCGTGGCGCGACGTGCGCCCAGAGTACGACCAGAGCTATTTCTTGGGCTCCGGCAACTCTTGCCTCAACCGCACCGTCACCAACCCGGTCTGCCCCTCCTTCTTCGTCTTCGACAACGATTGTTAGGGGCCTGTCTTCCGACAACCCGCCCGGCTCCGAGCGCCCGCCTCGCGCGTCAGCAGGAGCAGCCAGACCGGCGCAGCCGCGCGGACTACCACCAACGCACGGGCGCCCTTTCGCGTCGACTGCTGTGCCCGTCTTGACCACTGCAACCGCAATGCTGGAACCGGTACTAGAGAGTGGCCCCTGTGGCAAAAGACGTCTCGAGACAGAGCCCTGTTGTGCATAGATCCCTAGATTAGGGATGCAGCATACCCCCGGGATAGCTTTCACGTGAGCATGAGCCAGGAAGACCATTTTCTTCAATCTTTCTACGAGAAGGCCTTTCGCCGGGAGAGCTTGCAATAGCTTTGGAATCCACGCGCTCGCTCTCGCCTCTCTTTCTTGCAATGGACAGAGCATCAAACTTCTAGTATCCTTGGTTTACATTATCAGACGGTATCCGGGGTAGTAGGCCATTGTCGCGATCGAAGCGATTTATGATCTCCTTGAAAGCCTGAAACTCGCACGCGTACCTCTCGTGGTCCTTCTCTACCAAATGAAGGTAACGATCTAGTCCACCTGGCTTGTTCCAGCACTCTTCGAAAAGCTGCGAAAGGACACCCGTCCTCAATGTCTTGTTGGACGACATCTGACCACGCTCCTGTAGTACTTGCGTAACCCGCCTCCTAATTTCTTCATCCTGTTTGAAGACTTGGCGCACCGTCTTTGGTGCGGACGGTTCCCCCTCCAGCGCATGTTGAAGGTGTACAATTCACTTCTGTATGCCTCTACAGCCGCCCTATCTGGCATGGTCGCCCTTCGTTGCAGCCATGGGTCAGAAACCCCGTCCCTGTCGCCCATGGACTCGAACACTTCTCGAAGCGCGTCGAGCAAGTTGACAGATTCCGATATGTCCGCCCTTTTCATGGCAAGATTCTTCATTCCCTGGTAAGCCGCGGTCCGTTCAATGAGTGGAAATGGGGGCTCTTCATACGTGCTCGTCGGAGACCAGGTGTCTTTTGCCCTAGGACCCCGACCAAACTTGGCGTTGAGAAGGTTCCGTGGCGGGTAACGCGCTTTCCGATCTCGGTCATTCCCAAAGTGACTGACGGGTCGGCGCAGGATCCAGTTCTCCGGAGCGCACTTCACGCTTTCCACCCCATACACTGGCTCTCCAGATTCTAATATGCTGTACGGTTGTCTCAATCCCTCTGGCCACGCTCGTTGGACAATGTCGGAAGAGCTGTTTCGCAGCTCGGGATACCCATTTGCGCTTCGAAATGAAAGGCCGTTGAACCCCACGTGATTGGCCGTCCTCTGAGACACCACGCCGTTCCCGCTCGATGCAAACGGCTGGTCAAGTGCAACCGCGACCATCGGTATGGGCCCTTGATGAAGTCCCTCCAAATTTAGCAGACTCTGTGCAGTACTTGCACGGTGGGAATCTGAAAGGCACGCAGCAGGGACTTCAACGTAACGTTCCTCATAAGGCAGCTCCATTATAGGACGATGGGATGGCGGTGACGTGGATATCCTGACCATTCCGTCCGCATCTGGTAGAGCAGGACCGAGTCGTTTTCTCACCTCATCAGACAGTCTTCGCTTTGCGCTTTGACGACATGCTGTCGCGAAGTGAATGTTCCTCTTAACGAAACCGAAGTCCTTTGGCGGCTTAATCTGATACCCCAAAGACGCAAAGACAGCAGCGAAATCGATGCTGCTTAATGGGTTGGCGGCAAATCCGTGAACCTTCCCACCTCGGCAACGCACTGCCTCGAACTCAGAGAGAAGATCGTCAACGCTCAGCAGAGTGCTCCTTCTTCGACGAGTCTGCCATTGGCCGAAAAGCATGTCTGCCAACCACTTGCCATGATTGTTCTCGAGAAACACGACGATTACAATATCAGCAAGGCCCTGATCTACCATATATTGCGGAAGGACAATACTACTGAGCCAGTTCTTTCCAACTGATGCGTTATCCGACACAACGATCTTAATTGACTCGCCCTTACACCGGACGAGGTGGTCGATCAGAATCATTTCAATTATCGCAGAGGCATTTTTCGACCCGGTCCCTTGTTCATGGGAAAATATCACGGCGTCCTTGGTCACTGCGCTCACATGCGCGTTCACATCGAAGCGCCATCTTGTGATATCTGCAGACGCATTGACCACAAAGTGGGGAAGATCAACTTTTGTCATATCGTCCTGATGCGTGACGACGGCATGGTTCTGCAGTGAAGTCCAGCCATCTCCGCATACATTTAATCTTCGGTAACTATTTTCAGTGTCTCGAAAAAAGTCGCTCCATTCCTTCACAGCGGCCCGGATCATGGCGTCTCTTTCGTTGTGCTCAACAAACATTCGTAACACCTCTCTCTCTTGGAAATGTTTTGTTTCAATATTACAAATAAATCTGTCCGAACTTTCTTGCAAATCCTCCTGAAAAGGCCTCTGGAGACTGCAGAACTGCTCTTTGTAGCTCTGCTCCAGTTGCTTAGATTCGAAATGAAAGTGAAGGACCGCATATTTCAACGTCTTACAGTTTGGACAAGCGTTGTGGTCGCTTTGGTTAAACTCAATGGCGCACTTGCGTACCTCCAGGTACTTGTCTACCATTCGTTGCAATGTTGACTGAGACAGCTGGCCATCAACGTCTTCATCGTCATCAAGAGCCTTCGCTAACACTTTTCGGAGTTTCTCCTTGGTATTGATTTCTGGCGAATAAACTCTGCAGATGTTGAGACGATTTGAGCCCGCAGGATCGGCGCGCAAGACCATATCCAGATGGTTCTCGACTTTTTCGCGGATTATGTCAGGGTATCTGTTCATGGGATGCCCGCCGTGCTTCCTGTACCCTTCGACACCTCCCTCAATAAACCCACGATGCTCAACTGAAGGGTCATTGCACATAGCCTGGAGCGCAATACGAACGTCGGACACATGTTCCTTTGAGATAGTGTAGAGGGCTGAGAGGGCTGAGTCACAAACTTTGGTTGGCGAGTTGCTGAGGGCGCCAAACATGACGTTGAGAAGGTGCCGATTTTCGTTTCGCCGCGGATTCAACTCCCTCGCACAACGTGAGAATGAGTTGTACTCGTTTGTCAGAAATACTATGTTCAAATCCTGCAGACAGTGCTCGCTACAACCGCAATCGAACGTCGGCAGGTCATCGATCACCGGGTACCCTAGACGATCTCCCACTCTTCGGTGCTGCCTCAATCGAATACCGGCTGTGTCGACGATACAGAACAGCTCTTGCTCGCTGAGTACAGTAGACAACTCTCCGAAATACGTGGTCTTCTTTCTGCCGTAGAGAAATTTGCGCGAGACATCGAGTAGACAACAGATTGCCTCTGTGCATAGTTTTTCGGGCGGGCATTTCGTACCGCTCGGCGCGTCCTCTAGTCCGTACAAGAATGGCAGTACCCTGACGACAAAGTCGGCAAACTTGCGCAGTGAACGCTTTTGACCCGTTGCGTTTGCGTCTGCATCGATTTCTCTCTGTTCCCGAGAAAGAGCAACGAACCCCACATAAGAACCTCCGATTCCTTTGCGCCTCGTCTCAACCAAGCCAGAAGTGTTCTGGATATTGGCATGCATCCGCTCTGCAATTTGATGAATCAGCCTCAGCTCTTCGAGAAGAAACAGTTTCTCAGGATCGATAGCAATACATGTAAAGCAAAAACGGCGACAACAGTGCCATATTGAAGTTGGGAACGTGTCTTTATATGCCCGGAACGCTGCCTGTGCCCGTTGTTCCATGGTCCGCAGTACCACAACGCCACTTGTGATTGAGCTAGCATCAAACTTGTGAACACTCTCTGCTCCCTCCGCGCTGGTACTCCTCGGCACGACATCGTGATATGGGCCGCGCCTTGTCCATTCAACGAATAGCTTGCAGATTGAACGGCCCATGTCCATCTTCTGACGCCATGCCCTGTCCGTTCCACCGAAGTGCCGCTCGCGTTCTGAGGGGCTCATTTCGTATATATGGTCCCATGCCTCTTGAGGAGCCCGCGGGGCAGTTTCATAATCTACTTCTGTACTTGACAAGATGGACTGAGAAGTACGTTGGCGAAGTGGTGCGGACATCGGATGGTGTTGTAGCAGCGAGAGAGGGCACGCGGGTGGTTGCAGTTCCTTCGACAGGTTGAAGGAGCAACAAGCGTTCGAAGGGAGGACAGCGGAAGGGAGAAGGAGTGGCGGAGAAGCTGATCACGACGGGGATGCGACGTCGCAAGAGCGCACGTCGAGAGCAAAAAGCGAAGAACCGCTCTGGTGAGCAGCTTCGAGAATAACCAACTGCAAGTTGGCGTTGACAAAGCAGGGGAGGGAGGCTGAGTGGAAAGAGCTGGATCAAAATCGAAGTGCGGAACAGAAGAACAGAAGGAGAAAGCGGACGTGCAGTGTCGGCACCGCTCGGTGCTGATGAAGCATGAAATTGAGACGCATGTCCATGTCATAGATTTACAGGCGGTCCAGTCCATGTCCAGATGGACACCAAACTTTACAAGACTCACCAATCCAGCGGCAGCCTGAGAGATTACAGTGCCCTGCTCCAATAAATTGGGCGGTCACATTCTACAATAAGTAAATCACGCAATTCAAAATTTCCTGTACGTCTTCAGAAACGGCGAGCACCATGGCGGTGGCGGGGTCAGGCAGAAGCGGATGGGACCGGGCGGGCTTCGATGGCGGAAGGCAGAAGGGCGTAGGTGGCGGCGGCGAAGCAGCGGGCTACGTGGGGCTGAGAGGTTCCGCTGCGCGGCAAGCACGGGTCGTTTGGTGGTGTAATTGGCGTCGGAGAGGGTAGCGGCGGCAGTATGGGAGCCCAGGTGGGTGGCGGCGGGCGGGGTGGAGGACAGCGATTGGGCTAGGACGGAATGCTGCAGCGGGCGGCGCAGGAGAATGTGCGCAGACGGGAAGGGGCGGGGAGTCGGCTTTTCGAAAGGGGTTAGAAGAGTGGGAGAGAATTGGAGATGCTAGCGCAGTGGGAGTGTGGGGAGGAGGCAGAGGCCTTCCAAGGCGTTGGTAGTTAGCTCAACGGAGGCGGCGAGGGATGGCCGCCGCGGCATGGTGGGTGGGAGGGCAGAGAGAGGGAAAAGGATATGAGCAAAGCAAGGAAGAATGTGATTAACGAAGTGGTGGAGATTCGAAGTGGTGGGTATAGAGGGGGAATAGAGGTAACTGGATGCCGGCGGGGGTCAAGAGGCAGGAAAGAACTGCGTGGAGTAAAAGTGACGACATTGGATGGATTGTGGATCTCTTTTAGAAACATGGACGGCAAAGATCAAAAAGGCCAAGGGAGAAGAGATTGAAGGTGTAGAAGGAGAATTTAGCGGCACCTGTGGGGTGTCGGAGGAGTGCTGTATGACCGAGGGACTCTGATGGGTGATTGCTTGTGGCCAAGACGAGGAGCAGCGGGCAGTATCCATACACACAGACACGCACAGACAATCACAGACATGCAATCACATACACACAAATGTTGATTAGACGGCAGAGACAAGTGAGCTCCTTGCGCGCTATGCGCACCGATCCTATTATGTTACCCGTGAAGTCAAAGAGAGTGGTTAAATAAATCTCTTCTCTGAAGTTTAGTCTTTCTCTCCACGTCTTACTCCAGCACGTTTTCGCTCAGGAATCAGACGCCATATCCCAGTCGTCTGCATCTCATCATACTGCCATCCAACCATGTTATGTGTGCACTTACTGCGTCTTACTGCGTCTCCGAAATGTGGTCCCACCTTCACGTCCCACACTCGCACACTGTTTTCCAGGATGTAGATACTGCAAGTATTCTGTTCGCACTTTTCGCAACCATAACCACTCTTTCCGCGCTTCCAGAAAATAAACGAACGACCTGTAGCCCCGTCATTATGTCCCTCACTCCGAAACTGGCATCGAATGGTCAGTAAACTACATGTCTTCAGTGCGCACTTATGGCAACAGTACGCACCCGATTCATGTGTCCAGACATTCTCCTACATGATTTACTCGTAGAATATGACCGCCCCCAATAAACGGACAGCTATTGATGGAGGAGACTGGTAGTGTAATGCGAGGGTGCACGTCTCCAGAATGTTTCTGAGTTACGCAGAAAAAGTTGCTCAAACTTTCGGCAGCACCTTGGGAACCTTTGAAACTTCAGAAACATTCATCAACCTTTTCAAAGATGCCGGATCGCATTACAGCTCCGATCGAGGGTGGATGGAAATATTCCATCATTGAGGCCTTGCTTGCAGGATCCAACAAGGTCCACCACCGGGACCAATGGGAGTGCCGTTTGAGGCGAATATCAGAAAAATCAATTGTCAACCAGGATTTTACGGAGCCATGAGCCCTGGTAGTGGGACCAAAGTTGTATGGCTCTGGGTCACAGGCTCTGGTGCCCAGGGCCATTATTGGGACGTATTCTCCTGAATGCGACTCTCTCACCCCTGCGAAACCTCTCGCTTGCGACATTGAGGAGGACAAGGTCCAGCACATCAAACGTTGCCACCGCGACGAAAACATAACCCGTCGTGTATTTAATTATTTTATTCGTTTAATGCTTAATTCCGCCCTCTCTCCCCGCACTCACCCCACTCACCACCTCCGCCACCTCCTTCACAACCATTCCGTATACCCTTCTCGACACCGGCGAAGCCCGCACCCCGATCCCAACGGGCACCTGCTCAAGACACTCCCCCGCGCCACGATCCCCTCCAGCTTTTCAACTGCGTCCGCACCTCGCACCTGTCTCACCTCCAAGTACCGCTGCAGCGGTGCATGCACCCACCCCACCAATTCCCCGTGCACGTCCTCCGTCCACTTCCTCCGTGCACGTCCGCTTGCGCCCCGACCGCCACAAGCTCCATCTTGATCCCCTCCATCTTGATCCCCTCCATCTTGATCCCCTCCAACCCTCCCCCAGCCCTTAACACCCCGAGTAACAACGTCTGCGCCTTCAACCTGCTCACCGCCTTTCCTTCGCTGAACACCCGCTCCAACGCCGCCCTTATGGCCACCGTCCCAAACCCCTCCTGCCACGCCCTGACAACCCTCTCCACATCCCACTCCGCCGCCGCCCTCAACCTCCCCTCGCACGCTCGTCCTCGCACGCTCGTTCCGCCGCCATCACCCACCGCAACCCTCCCCTCTCCTGACACCCTCCCGCCACGTGGCTATGCATCTCAAGAAAATTGAACAGGGGCGTAGAAAGGGCATTCTTCAGGAGATGAGGAGGAGGAAGAGGAATAGCATACATATCACGAGTTGCTGGGCCCGTTCCCCAACTTTCGACGTCGGATTTGTGCTCTTCTTGTTCCTGTGGGGTGCGTGCTACGTGCTGCAGGAGCGCATGGTAAGGTTTTATTGAGATGGTTGAATGCTGAATGTTGCTAAAGTCTGGAACGGCATTGTCGGGGAGCTGTGCGATACAGTGTTACATGTTCACCGAAAGAAACAAATGAATCACGGGCATGCAGGAATATGGTTACTTCACTTGAGATTTATCTCTGCTGTGTCCACGCAATGTCAAAAAACGTAGAGAACTGAACATAATGTACCGGGGGTTGCCCACCCGTCTCATCATTCGGTCAGGCCCCCACACCTAGCGATACTAGCGCGTTGATCGACGTACACGATCCCCTTGTCTCATTGCCCCTTTTTACGAACAGGTAATGCGACTTAGTCCAACTCTATCTCGTTCCTCATCTCAGCCAGAAGCCCCCGAAAACCCCTTGCGACAACCTTGGCTGAACATCATGTCCACCTGCCCGTCGCCGTCATAGTCCGCCGCGCGCACGTTGTACCCTCGTGTGCCCTCGCGTGGTCCCCACCTTGGCGGCACCTCCGGCAGCTGCAGATGCAGAATTTCTGCATTTATATTGCTGAAATTCTCGTTCGCGTAAGCTCTGTATTCTCAAATATATCATGAGCTATGACCTAAAAGGTACAAAGGCACCCGTTGTTGCCCCAGGGGCAACAGTAGAAGTACAGGAGAGGGGATAGGGGGCCATAAATATGGAACAAGGCCATAAATGTTTCTGAAAAAATCAACTTCCAACAACGCATTATGTTTGAATTTTTGGGATACACATGATGCGAGAATTCTTTTGTGGAATTTACGTTTCCTGCACGTACCCTAAATGTCGTACGCCGTGCCCGCGAATTCGAAACGTCAGCTCACTCAAACTTGAATGAGATAACTCTGAAGGACTCTACAGGTAACATCAACTACAACTGACACCTGAGAACATGGGCATCGAAATTTTGGAGGAGGCGGACGCGTGGAGAACAGATGGCGACGGTGAATTTATGCATGTAGCGGTTGTGTACCGAGACGGGGAAGATATCTTTGTCGCGCGCATTGAAAACCCGCTTTACAAGGATGGAAAGCTCGATCTTAGTGGGGTGGACAGCTTGAGGGTCCCGACTGATGCAGTGTACCCCAAATTTGAGGCTGGTTTAACCGTGGCGAATTGCGCCTCGTCGCAGTGCCATAGAAAGCAACCCGTGCTTCTCTGCTATGGGCCCGGAATGAAGGACAACATTGCTCGGCTTATTTTGCAAGAGGCTCACGTTGGCGAGCTTCTCAAATCCAATCAGCACCCAAACATTGCCAAGTACTGGGGCTGTGACGTAAAGAATGACCGCATTGTTGCCTTGTGTTGGCAGAAGTACAGATCTACGTTAGCAGAGAGGATGCTATCTCCAGTGAAACGAGATGTTGCTTTGAAATGGCTTGAAGGAGTACAGGAAGGAATTTTGCATCTTCACTCTCTTCGATTGTGTCATAACGATATTAATCCCAGTAACATCATGATCAGTGAAGAAAATACGGCAGTCATCATAGATTTCGACTCATGTCGTCCGGAAGGAGAGCCGTTAGGGGATAAATCTGGCACAGAGGGTTGGGCGGACAGCTCCGCAACGCTTTCTCTACCCGGCAATGATCAATACAGTTTCGAGCGAGTGAGAGATTTTGTTTTAGAGAATCTCAAAGGATAAAGTTACTCATGGGGATGCGGGAGGAACCGTCAATTTCGGAGCAACGGATCAGTGCTCTTCGCTGTCGTCAGGTCCGACGTTACGAGGGGGGTAGAGTGGCCCAAATTTCGTCTCCAAAGATGTGCGATCTGCTGCCGGAATGACACCGTGTATATATAACATGTGCGAACAGGAGCCAGCCGCGTTGCGATTGACGCACGACATGTAATACACGATCTACAGCTCGCACTGGCATCATCCGCTGATCAGGGAGGCCATGGAGTGGAGAAGCGTGTTCACGCGTGTATATCGGAGAAAGATACCGCCTTGGCGAGCTTGCAAGGGCTGGAGCGAGTCGCGGAAGTGAGAAGAGCTAAAATTCCTTCTAACTGCCGGAGTGCAGAATGCACCCAGAGAATGACAAATTACGGATCATTTGAAGCTGAATTGGAGCCAAATGAAACGGAGTTCGAAGACATGACTGCCTAGTGCTTTTCACAGACAACAAATTCACCAACGGCGGGAGACAACGCCTGTACTATTACTGCAAAGTTACATCGAAATACTGGGAAGGTTGTGAATCCTCCTGCTGTTGTCGAAAAAGCGTCAGGGCGGAAACACTAGCGAAAACCGATCGCACATGAAAGAGAAAGGACTGAAGTGTGCCATAACATGCAGGGCTAAACAGGCCGGTCAGCATGGAGGAGGTCCAAACAGAGTGCTGTAGCGACAAGTGCAAGTCCTCGGACGATGACGACGATGATTGGCTTTTCAAGTTTGAATCAGAGGGGAAGTATCGAGATAAGACACTATGGCACCCGTTTATCCGAGTTGCAAAACTGGCTGCGGAGGCGATATTTCTCGTGTTGGTCTTGGATGAGCTAGACACGTCAGGACTTAGCCAAAAGCGAGGATCGAGGGAAGGGAGTGCAAGCACGCATTCAAAATCTTACGCGTTCCCTGGAGGGTTTGAATCCATTGGAGATAAAGAACTGTGATGATTACTGCGAGTAGATTGTCGGACAAAACCGATGTTCAAATCGTTGCTTGTGCGAGATGGGTAATGCGCATCAGTGAATCTGATTGTAACGCACGATAGATGCTTTTGCATGGAAATCTTAACGGTGCTAAAAGGAAAGGGCGGGGTTATAAGCGGGGGGAATTGTGAACTTTGCGGGAGATTTGCAATAGTGCTGGGAGACTTTGTGGGCACGCAATAAAGACTCGCCACTGTGGCGATGGAGTTCATTGGTGCAGTATACGCAAAGAATTATTTACGTTTGCAGATATGGAAGCTCCTGATGCGGCCTGGCTGAATGCTACCGTGCATCGCGGGTGCCCGTTATGGGGTGGCGTGTTGCTGTAGCGATACATTCCTCATGTAGGAACGTCATGTAGGAGCGTCATGTAGGAACGTCATGTAGGGATGTCCTTCATATGTAACGCAAATCAACAAAGTTAAAGGACAAAGCGTGAGAAGCATTGTGCATCGCACTGCTAATGCACATCGAGGATGAACTGCATGCACTTCGCCATTCCGTAAATTTCGACACGCGTCGTTCGTTCACGAACTTCCAAAGCACGATCGTGACGGGGTGGCGGCGGGGTTTGCTTGGTTGCATGAGCATCGCCTTCACGACTACAGGTTTCCCTTTCAACAATCCGCGAATCAATCGGTGGACAGGAGGAAGAGAAGGAGGGAAAGGGGTGTGGGGTGCGAGAGAAGAACGGAACAGCAGAACCTATTAGCTTTGCTTTGTTCATTCCCAAACTTGCAAATCTTTGATGGGCTCTCTCGAGACTAGCAAAGAAAAAATCAGGTAAAGCAACCAATAACCGCGCAAAACGAAGCACAAAAAATAAAATCAGAAACTGCTGCAACACAGCTCCTGAGGGCAGTTGGGACCAACTCATCCGGAAGCTGTGCTGCTCTACTCCCAAAGCCGCCAACATCTGGCATCCTTGTGACTTGCCGTCGCGTGGCGAGACTGCTGCCCATATCTTTTCCACTTGGTTTGCATGGAGCCCTGCCATCGTGATCTAACCAGGAAAAGCTGGCACCAGAGCTCGGGTGCTGACTCAGAGAGCGACGACGAGCCTTTCGATGATTCGTCGTATTGTACCGTGTCAGCTCCGCCGTCAAGCATTTTACCTTTGAGAACATCGATTCCGTCTACTGGTACTAAGCTCGGCTCTCTGCACCTCACGCCTTGCTCGTTTAACCGGTATCTTCATCTTACCGTATCCAATTTCGGACGCTACGATTTGGTTGACCGTATCCTGGTTGCCTGGTTGCACGACCAATTCCTAACGCAGGGCACGACGCGGCAGTCTGCTACATAACAGCTCTTTTTCATGAGAACAAAAGACGGAAATTTCCTACCAGTGAGGCATGTGCTATTGCAGGACCCGTTGTCTCAATTTCCAGGAAGCGTTGGGGTCCGGGTTTAGGGACTCCTGAACCCGATCTGGGTGGGCCAGGAAGCGTGATGGCAACCAGTCAGACTCTACAGACTCGTCCTCTTCACCAAAGAGTCGCGAGCCATACGTTACTATCGGAGTCCCCCCAATATCGGACTCCGCGTCATAACCAGAGGGATATCCGCCAGAGGTTGTATTCGAAGTCACAAGTCGCAATCGTTGCACATATATTTGTCAGAAGAACGAGGACGACGCTTGGGCGAAAGTCGCCGTATACATTGTGATCGATCGTGACATTCCCAACCAAAAAGAAAGAGAATCACAAATCACGAGTTTACTTCGGGATTCTACAAAGGAAAAAAATCGTTTTGTTGAGCTAGCAATGAAAGATGTGTTGACCTGCCCCTTTGCAGAGAAAATCGAGGCTAGAAATCTGTTATTCGCGCCTAGCGTCGGCAAGTTTATTGCTACAAACGTGAAGGGGGAACGCAGGTGGCTACAGCGAGAGATTTAAAGAGGTCAAGCCGCAGAGAACACGGTGGAAGCCACAGAAGGTCGAGCGCGAAAGGCAGAGGCAAAAGCCAGAAAGAGGAAGGCGAGGGAGAAAAGGCACGAAGTTGCTGTTGCTAAAGGTAGAGGCTACATTAAATTGGCTACCAGAGAGAGAAGCGGAATATTGCTTGAAGCACTCAATGTGGTCAATGCCGTGATTGCCTTAGTTTTGCTTCTGCTGTTCCACGAAGTGCACAAAGTCGCCTATCGTGTAGACTTCATCGCGCGGTATTTGCAGCGAGCCATTTGGCCCTCTCGCGCGCGGCCTTCTCAGAATTGAACAGTGGGTTCGACGGGTTGAAGTATGAGGTCCTGCATACGTGGTTACCACACTCCTTGCTCTTGTACGTAAACATGTAGTTGGGAGTCTTGTTTCGCGTCCATCCGGTTCTGAATTCACACATTTTGTGGCAGAAAAATAGCCATGGAACGCGTGGGAAGGAACGCGCTGGCGGGGTAGATTCTTGGTCAACGGACTTCGTTTTCGCGGGAGTAGGCACGAAGTATCACAAGGGTTCGATACAGAAAACAACTGGATAATTGTGCTGGCCCTCCAGCAAAAGGGGGCAATTTTGGGCCTGTCGTATTTTAACCCAAATCAAGTATTTGAGAGTTGCGCGTGTTGTGAATCCCTAGGTGTACATGCCCACCAATCAGATGTGACCGTGGAGCTGCTTTGGCACCTCGCACCGTTATCTTCTGTTGCCTGCTGGCCACGTAATGGCCTCGGGCGGCCGTCAATGAACTGGCCGGGCTGCACCCCCAAACCGTTCTGTTTTGCCACATTTCTCACAGAACCGTTCTGTGCAGAACCGGCCAAAACACTACCGTACGGCACGATTCCGGTCTGCACCCCCAAACCGTTCTGTTTCCCTACATTTCTCACAGAACCGTTCTGTGCAGAACCGGCCAAAACACTACCGTACGGCACGATTCCGGTCTGCACCCCCAAACCGTTCTGTTTTGCCACATTTCTCACAGAACCGTTCTGCAAGCCGTCTGACACTGTAATACTTTCGGATCGCGTCCTAAGGACGCGGGTCCAGAGGTACCATTGTTCTAATGATGATACCGGCCAACCCGTCTACCGTACTGTTGTAAAAGGACTGTATCCGGTCATTGCTGGGGTGTCTACGTAACTAGACAGGGGATGGTATTTGACAGTGACCTACTCTACGAACACGGTAAAGAGCACAATGCTCAAGGACGGTTGCTTGTCCTTAGGTTGATTAATTCTCTTGCTGTCGCCTCCCCTATCTATCGCCTAGGAGTTCGTTCTATTAATACTAGGTTGCTATGCTCACGGTTGCATTTGCTATCGCTTATCTATGCCAACGCTGTTGGCATCCCGTGTGCATTCTTACTTGCATTCCCTCTTCTTATGCATCACGTTTTGCATTCAGGTATTTGCCATCTGCACTAATGCATCGCATTCACTTATTGCATTTAGGATCTTGCTGCACTTGCGATGCCTGTCATCTTGCCATACTGCCTGGTTCGAGACCGTTTGTTTCACATCCCCCCCAGTCGCTTGAGTTTCACGAAGGCGAACTTGGGCTTTTGCTTTTACCAACTTATTTCCAAGTCTGACTATCAAGTGCATACCCTGATTCGAGATCTATAACCATCATTCCGCTTGACGTCAACTCGTTCAGGAGTTTAGAAGTGTTTGGGTTTAACTTTGTTAGAGCGTCAGCTGGGTTGCTCGTGCCGGGGATCCACCGCATAAAGTCCAGCTCTCTTGAATCGAAACTATTCCGCATCCGTTGCACTGTAGGTCGAAGCCTGAAGTCCTTGCCCTCGTGGAGTGTCGTGATGGTATCATATAGACACCTCGAGTCTGTGAGGAGTTCGTTCCGCACCTTTGTCTCAGCAAACAAGCTGTTGAGTCCCGTCTTCAGATAGTATCCACGAATGTCGGCGTCTGCGCATGCCAATACCTCTGCTCCATACGGTGAGTAGCTAACTCGCCGCTGCTTGTTGCTACACCAGTCAAGGGGGTGGAATAGGTCCAATCCATTGTCCAGCACGATGCGTAGCCCACTCAATACTCCAGTTTGCCCGTATCCGCTACTGGATGTTTGGTTAAATGACGCGTCGGAGAAAGTAGAAACCATTACTTCTCTGATGTTGCTCGCGCAAGGTGGTTTTCTGGATGTAAGCCAACTATTGAGCTTCAGGAGTTCGCTGAGCATCTCGTTTGCTGTGATTAGCTGGGATACGTTTACCTTTGCCACTTGTTGCTGTAGTGCTGACGTCACGTGTGAGGCTTGAGGTAGTACACCGTTACCGAGGTACATAAGGGTGCATGCGAGCGATCGGTACTGCTTCAACTCTATGTCCGTAGCCTTATCATCTCGCTGTTTGCGTCTTGCTCGTGACACGGCTATTGGTTTCAACTGTTCGAGATATCGTATCATAGACATTCGGATGCTGCCGTTGTTTTGCTGTTCAATCTCGCAGCCATCGAAGTGGACCTTCTGGTCTACAACCACCTTTCCTACCACAAACCTGCGGCGAAGTGCTTGCATGAAGTACTTAATCTCTTCGATTGGACTACTAACCAGAAAATCGTCTGTAACTTTTGCTATGAGAAGCCGTATATTTATGTCTGTTGCACGTTTCATGAAGAGCTGTGGTATTCCGAACACGCGTTCCAATCCAGCAGTGGTCAGCATCCATTCTTCGACGACTACTTGCCACTGCCTCCCAGCATCCGCAATCCCGTATGGGAGCTTGAGTAGTTTCCACAATATCCCTCGGAGGGTGCCCCAGTCTCTGGGTGGTCTGACATAGATGTCGCGCTTTATCGGTCCACTCTGGAGAAAGGCTCCTTTGATATCTGCTGTGGCAATCCGGAAGTCGAAGAACGTTACGAGAGACAGTAACAGCCTGACGACGAATAGAGGAGCGTTAGAAGAGTCTTTGCGTACATCTTCCTTTTCATCGTCGTGGTTGCCATGCGGCACGATACGCGCTTTCAGCCTACGTTCACCATTCTCTTCAGTCTTCAGTTTGTATACCACGTGTGAAGTTATGAAGTTAGCATCTCGGG